ACAACAAACACACCTTTAGAAATGTTTAGTAATGACAATCTGCAAACACATACTTCTAGATTATTGCCAGCTTTGCATACCTTATTTCACTTTTCTTTCCCAGTCTTCTGACAGTGGCCATGTTAACTAAGGGCAGATTACTAGATTTACTTCCTGGAACTCTGGCACATGTGACTAGGACATGTGACCATGCACATCTCAGGGGAGGAAAAAGCCTTTCACTCAGATCTCACGAGATTACAGATTAGATTTCCCAGCAATCTTCTTCTGATGTAACCTTCCCAGGATGCAATACTTTGGCACATACATAATTTGTGCCAGAATTGAACCAGGAAGTACATAGATTATTTGTAAGTAAATAAAAAGCATGTTTGTTTAACTAATGAATGTAAGATCATTTGATATTGGCATGCAGAGCTGCATGCTGATGTGATTTTTAGTGAAGGGGGTAAAAGGTCTATGCATACCCTATGCATAAGGACTGAATTATGGCATTTGAAGATCACGGGGAAATTAAATCAGAACTGGAGCAGACAGAATCTGAAGCAGTTGCCCATGGCCACCAATCAACATCTCTCTTCAGTTTGTTCAGGTAAGATTTGAAAATGAGACAGAGAAGCGGATTGGTTGCAGTGTAATCTGCTCCAGTTTTGATAACTTCCCCCCGCAGTATATAAACCCATGTTAATGCAGAAAAGTTTAAAGTGACATTAAACCCTCAGATTTTTTAACATAAAACAATACTGTAATGTGTGCCTTACTGTAATCCAAGGTTGTTTCCCTTCTCTTTGCTGCTCTTCCTTTTAAATCTGTATCTGTTCTCATGCTTGGAGAGAACTTCCCTTTTCAGCAGACTGCCTTGTCTCAAACGGTGTCTGTGTATACGTTTCTATAGGCTGTAACCTGAGCCAGCACTACAGGAAGAGGCCCTGAGCTGAAAAGGGAAGTTCTCTCCAAGCATGAGAAAAGATACAGATTTAAAAGGAAGAGCAGCAAAGAGAAGGGAAACAACCATGGATTACAGTAAGGCACACATTACAGTATTGTTTTATGTTAAAAAATCCAAGGGTTTAATGTCACTTTGATTTCTCTTCTTTTGGAAAAACTGGGCCTGACCTCACCCAAGCTGACATTTACCAAATGTTTATTTTTGACACACTTCCCTACAAAGAATTCTCACACTGACTACTGACAAATTTACAACATGATATGGTATCAATAAGTTTTGCAAGGAAATTAAGGTGACGCACCTGACCATTACTAAGGCAACAGAGGTCCAGGCCAATCACAATGCAAGACACTGCATGACTTCATAAAAAAAAAAAAAAAAATTGCTATGGCAGGCAATCCTCAAATATTCAAGCCAGGTACACACCATTTTTTTTTCTTCATCTTAAAATGGGCTCTTAGGTGCAGTCCAGTGCGTTTGTATGCGTTTCCATACGTTCCAGTGCATTCCAGACCAGAGAAAATGAGACTAGCAGTATTTTTTTTGTCTGGTCTGGAACGGACTTCGCTGGTGTGAACAGAGCTCAGAAATACCATAGGGATACATTGGGGTGCTTTTTTTGGTCCGGACATGGTGTGAACAAGCCCTGAAGCTGAAATACACTTGTGATAAAAACCTAAACTTAAAGTAAAAGTAAGATTTTCTTTTCTCCCTTGAATTTACCTGACAACCTTGAATAGCCCACACTTAACAGACTGTCACGGGGACTGGCAACATGACCTACCAACCATTTTTGCTCTGTAGCAATGTGCTCTCTGAAGAACATAAGGCATTGTAGGCACAGTGAGTGGTCACGTATCTTGCTGCTGTTTGTCATGGATGGACTCCACACAAATGTATAGTGTGACCAGCCATAGTAGATTCATTAGCATGGATACCATTTCACCTGGACTTCACCTCTGTTAGTCCAGGTAAATTGTGGTATTTCAGAAACCTGGCTACAAGTAGAACAATCTAGGGTCATTTTTTACTAATGTAAAAGCTCAGCTAGGTTTTTCCCCCCTTATCTAATCTCTCTCTTATTCAACCTCTCACCAATCAGACATTTGTACCAATATGTTCAAACAAAGCACCACCAAATGAGAAGAGTATTTGTTTTTAATGATCATTTGATAAAAAAACATTTGACAATATGTTTCCATTCCAGAAGACCCAGTATAAAAAGTTAAGAGCTGAACCGTTTTAAACATGAGCCAATAAAAAAGATATGATAGAAATGCCATTTTATGTTTTATAACACAGACTGGAAACTAAATTTCTATACAATATGGTTGAGATGTGAAAAAACTTCCAAAAATGTTGATAGAAAAGACATGTATTCACAGTTCTTTACAAAAACGCAGTTAAACAATGATTGTCAAAACAAATATACAACAAACATAAAAATATGTAACATATAAAAGGCACAAGATGTCACAAGACACAATATAAACTTTTCTCACAAGTAAAATGTCACAAGAAACAGGATGGCAAAATGGCATTTGCAAGAAAAACGATCCAGATTGACAATATTTGTGAGGTGTGGAAGGTCCTATGGGCTGCACCAGCTCAGTACTGTTATAATAAAATAGTAAAATTTGCTTTATTCTGTGCCCGCCCCCGTGTTGCCAGTACAGCAATACTGCTCATCAGTGGAGTGTAAAATCAGATTATTTCTTCAAAATGTGGGACGATTTATGATCCTACTTGGGGGTGGAGGGGAATAAAAAGTCACCAGCTGATAGCAAATCTACATTGTTTCTACTCCTTGATCACAATAAAAATAATAAGATCATGCCAAGCTATAAATTGCACTTTTGCATAAAAATGTGAGGAAAGCAAAACTGTTGTCCCTAGCAACTTACAGGGAGTTGGCTTTCATTTTCAAACATGTGGAAAACGAGAGCTGGATCTTGGTTGATATGATCATAAGCCCTCAGGACATCTAAAATGAATGCACCACACCCGAAAAAGTAATAGCCATTTACTGACTCTTAAACGCAATGTACCCTTAAACCCAACACTCAAATGTAATCCTTCACCTTAACCAAACTCCCCACACTAAACCTAAACCTCAGATATGAGCTAAAAATTATGATATGGGTCATGTGTAGCCTAAATGCCTGGCTGTATGCAAAAAAAACATTAAACATTTATTTTGAAGGATGGAAAAATTAAAAAATATAAATAATTTTAAAAAATTGAAGAGCTATTTCAAGGAAAGATGTAAACCCATTCAAGCTACTTTTCATTTGATATCCCTGAGCCTAGGGCCGTGAGCATCAAACCTAGCCTAAAAGGTGGACAAGTTTGTAAGCTGATTTTAGAGACAAGCAAGGGCCTGTTTGCCAGCAAGAGCATTAAAGGAAATCCTAGGCTTCAGTACTTCACCCTTCCGAAGAAGGCAACAATCATATTGGTTACATTTATATTACTGCAAAGTTACAGACAACTGAGCCTAAGGTTGACATTTACAATTTGAAGAAGGTGAAACAGAACTACATTCCCTCTCAAGCAGGCCAACATCCCTACATTTGCTTGCTTTAACGTAACTCTGTTATGAGAAAAATACAAGGCAACCAAGTTCTTCTGAATAAGTGTCTTGGCTTGGTTATGTCCAAGTCAAATGCCCAGAAAAAGTATGCAGCTAACAAAAGTCAGAATATCTTCTCTCTATATACTGTTGCATCTAAAGTCATTTGATTTATTGCGGTGGGTTACTGCACTTTGTTATTGTGCTTTTCTTGTCTTATTTAATATATTACACATAGAAGGGAATTGATCAAAACCTGGTACAGACAAAATCTGGAGCAGCTGTGCATGGCAACCAATCAGCTTCTCTCTTTCATTTTCAAATTCTAACTGAACAAACTGAAGAGAGAAGCTTATTGGTTGCCATGCACAGCTGCTCCAGATTTTGTCTGCTCCAGTTTTGATAAATTCCCCCCATAGTGTTTACTTTTAACCATAGTTAGATATCTTATTGCTACTATTGTACTTTGCACAGCCACTGCACTGTATTATTTAATAAGCCTGTTAATATTTTCAGCAGAAATAAAACAGTCTTTATTTAAAAGGATATGCCAAAAATGAATCATTCAATAGGGAAAAGAAATCAACAAATAAGGAAAAGAAATCAATATTTAGCAGTGGTAATTATAATTAACATTAATAATGTACACTAAACTCCCCATATTCCGGCATTCCAGCAACCAGCACAAAAAGAAACAAATTGATGCACTTAAAAAAAAAAAAAAAAAAATGCTTGGTGTACACAAAATTTTTTTGTTGGCCACCTAAATTTCATTAAAGAAATTCTTTGTTTACATCTTGCTGCTGGCCAGCGGCTAGATTCCGCAGTCGGCACCAGAATGTATATAGCATATGTAATTGCAATAGCAGGCTGGCTATTGTGCCCGTCCACTGAGCAGAGGAGCGGACCCGAGAGAGAACTTTCCATCTCAGGTCCCCTCCTGTTCAGTGGGTGGGTGTTTCAATAGCCAGCCTGCTATTGCAATTTGATGGCCAATAGCTGGTTGGCTATTGCACCCGCCCACTGAGCAGAGGAGCGGACCTGAGAGAGAACTTTATTATAGAGTAGCTTGTTTATTAAAGAGTAGCTGTGAAAAATATTAATAAAAAGGCTTTAGAAATGAGATTATCACTGTAATTGGAGTTGGGCTTTAAGTTCTCTCACATACCAAGTAAATAAGCTGTGTCTCCTCCCACAGAGATTTTTCCAGATTTGCAGGAAGCAAAGCATCTGTCTGTGGACATTTACTGTGAGATGGGGCTTTATTAAAAACAGTGATGCTGGCACATTTATGTTTCTCTATAAAAGGAGGGAGGTGTACTCCTGCCTTCTGTGTAGTCCCATGCTACACATAGCAGAGACACAAAACCCTGTTTAGTGTGTAAAACCTCCAATCGTAAACGCACCTTATGAGGGGATTGAACACAAGCACTTTTAGTGGTCCCTGTGGATAGGTCTGGATAACAATGTAATAGAGGAAAAAAAATGTCACACAACAGTACTGTAGTAAAATAAGGTGTTAAACAGCTGCGGTTTGATACAAGTAGAATCTTTTTCATTTTCTTTCTTTCCTCAAACACAATCAATACCTTTTATTTGGCTTGAATACAAGCTACAGGAAATAGTAAAGATTATTTACACTTAAATGTACAACATATCTTGCTATCTGTACTATATTATGAAAACACAAGGATATGTTGAAAGCGTTTGTTCATTTTGATGGCCCGACACAATGGTTTCCAGTAAAACTGTACACAGCATGTAGTGCTTCCTCTGAACAGAAGCATATGATTGCTGCCGTTCTGTTCTTTGTGCAATTCCATTTAGTCCACACATAATACAGCTCTGCCTAAAGCATCACCTTGCATTTGATCTCTGTGCATAAAAGTCATCAATGCTTTTTGTCAGCTGTCTAGTGAACAGTTTGTATATCTTGCCACAGTACGTGTGCACTGTTTTCTGCAATTCCAGTTCTAAAGGATATAATACAGAGCGGATGAGGTCATCTCCAAAGGAATACTAGAGGGGGAAAAAAAAAAAAGAAGGATTACATCCTGAATCAAGTGAAAACAGAACACATGAAAATATTTGAATAACCCAATAGCATTCTGTAACTTTACTATAGAGATATTTATCTGCCACACCTTTGCAAAATTATAATTTGCACACTGCACTGAGTGTGTAAATTAACATTAAAAAGCTGGACATTATGTGCAGAGGGTGCATAGTAGAAAAATCTTACCTTGCAGCACGCCGTCTCCTACACACAATGCCCAGCCTCTGGGCACATCACCTCCCCCTCCACATCATCATCCATAAAAAAAAAAAGAAAAAAAAAACCTAGACATTTTGTAAAAGTATACAAGACATTCTGTGATTAAAGGAGAGACGGGGCTGGGACATATCCCCTCCTCCAATCACAGAATGCCATCTACTGCTTAAAGAAATCTAAGACATTTTGTGAATGGATGATAGTGAGGAGGGGCACATGACGTGATCAGGGCACTGTACAGCTCAGTCACATCGTACCCTCTCTTCAGTGCCAAAAGCGGTGTGTGCAGGAGATGGGCATGCTGCAAGGTAATCTTGCAGCCACCCTCTGCACATAACATTCACACTCAGACCCAGTGCGCTGTGTAAATGATCATTTTGCCCGGAGTGTGGCTTTAAGCAAATGTGATTCTCCTATGGAATACAGCATCGGTCAAGAGGGGTAGGGTAGAACCTCTTGACAAACGTCCCTCTCAGTATAATCATTTCTATACATCATATTGGTATGCTGGCCTGCTGTGATCGCGGCTGGCACCTATCTGAACACGCAAGCAAATGTGTACGGTCTACTTAACACTGTAAGAATTTATATATGGTATATAAATAAGTATACATGGTAGTTTAAATGTGCTTGGGCATGAATTCACATTGATTGGACAGAGGATTAGAAGCAAAGGGCAAACTCATCTTAGTTGATCCCAAAAGCCTGTGTATACAAGCACCAAGGCTAGGTTCCCATCTATCAGTGTCCACTTTTACATGCTACGACCATTCACTGCAGCAGCTTTACATGCTTATAAATTGCTGTGTGTTTTTGATGCGTTAATCAGCATTTTTTGGTTTGAGGATTATTTTCCTGCAGACATCACTGTTGTGGACTTTGGGAAGAATCTACATCCTGGATTTCTGTATCTTGTGTTGAAGAATCACATGCTACGTTTCAGGGGTCCACATGCTACATTTTGTGGCACTGGAATGTTCACGCATCATTCTAACCAAAAAAAAACAAACTAACATTGCCACATATGAGAGCTACATGTTGTAATTGTAAGGTATACCAACATTCCATCAATATTCTAGAATATGGTTCTCGGTTAGCTTGATCAGGAGGCTATAAAGCCACCTGGCTCACTTTTACATTACAGCATAGAGGCTGCTGATTAAATCTAAAACAAGCTCATGGCTGCTATTGCAGCTGCAGGCTTGTTTTAACCCTTTTGTTGTCATTATGTTGTACACCTCATTGGTAGGCAAAGGTTTAAAGCAGTGTTTAGTTGATAGATGTTTCCTTGCTAACAGTAAATGCAAATTGGGTACATACATTTAATTTACAATTGCTTTATACTGACCAATGTTTAAAAATACAATCACAACTAGGGATGCGCCGAAATTTCAGCCGCCAAAATATATCGGACGAAAATGGCACTTTTGGCAAAATGCCAAAAGTGCCATCTTTCGGTCAAAATTGCGATGCATCCCTGGTTTCTCTCCTCCCTGCTGGGCGCTACTGTGTGTCGCCTCTGACACAGTGCAGCATCCAGCACGGAGGAGAGAAACTGTCACAGGAGGCTGAGCGGTGCGGGGGAGGAGAGTGCTGTGAGCGGCCGGTGCCTCTCCTACCGCCCAGCCTCCTGTGAGAGATTAAGAGAGCGGCGGTGTGGGGGCGGAGACATCTGTCAGTGATGTCACAGCAGGCCGAGCTCTCCTCCCACCCTGCTCGCTCAGCCTCCTGTGACAGCGAGTCAGGAATGGAGAGAGGGTACAAGCACTATGTTTACTGTGTCCCCAATTATGAATAAAAGGGAGTGATCTACATCACTTCCTGTTCATTCAGGATTGTGGTTATGGTAAACCTACTGTCTCCACAAGTAATAAATGAACAGGAACACTCAGTATAGAGGATTCCTGTTCATTGATAACTGGGGCTGCAGAAAAATATTGAGGGCTCTGTGTTCTCAATCTCTTTTTCCATTTTAAAACGGACACATCAGGGATCTGTTTAGACCCAATATTTCCCCGATGCCCCCAACAGTAAAAGTAAAAAAAGAAAAATATATAAATAAAAAATATATGTTAGTAAAAAATGTTTTTGGGGTTTCGTTTTTGAAAGTTTCATTTCAGTGCACCTCTACTTAAAAATATATAACACAAACACACACACACATATTTTATATTCAATTAC